CCTGCGCAAAGAGAACGAGCCAGTTCCTTGCAGTAGAATATATCTGTTCTCCCAGCAAATTTCTCGATTCCCAGCTCTCTGGTAGTTGTAGTTTAACCTCCCTAGCGGTATGATTATTTCAGATTTTTGGTGCTGAAAGCGGTACCATTATTTTGCATGGAAATATGTAGTTTTTTTATTGTAGGCTGTAATTTTTAGGAATAACTCACTGAAACCTGTCCGAACAAGAGTCTAGTAAACATCCCGGGTATGATAAAATTTGAAACACAAAATCATAAATTATAATTTAATAAATAATCATAAAAAAATAATAATATAATAATAATACATTTAATTCAATAATATAATCAAACCAAAAACACTGAAATTTGAAATATAGCGCCAAGTTCGCACATTGCTGAGCAAAGTCGCAAAATTGTTTTCAGTGTCTGATGACGAATTTCCCCACAAATCATTATCACTCAATTCTGCAAGTGGTTCTGATTTACTATCGCTGTTCTCTAGCTGGTCTAAACCTGCTTTTGACCTAAAGGGACACTTTTTGGACGCCATGGACATTTCTCAGTTTCCAGGCATAAAGAACAGACAAAACGCAGGCAGGGCACAGGACAAAGCACTAGGGACAATATGTATGTGAAATGGGTTGAAACAGCAATGTTTTACTATGAAAAATGTGTTTTGAAAAAAATTACATTTTTAAAAATTTTCAAATTTCCCGCCGTTGGCGGTGCCCGTACGTCCCGACGTCACAGGGACCGGAACACAGAAGCCGGATACCGGCATCGGCCGGAGGAGATGGCCGGGGATGCTGCAGGGGACACATCGCGGGAGTGAAGGACAAGGTAAGTGTTGCAGGGACTCCCTATGCAGCGCCGCATGGTAAGCCCGAGTGTAGCTCGGGGTTACCGCTTTTGGCACTGACATTTTACCCCGAGCTACACTCGGGAATACCGTTAGGGAGGTTAATCAGCACTGAAAAATACAGTATAGGACTACAAGTCACAGAATCATCTGCTGTCAGAAGAACTGGATCCATTCTGCTAACAGGAAGTGATGCAGCAGTCCCAGTACTGGCCACTAGGGAGGAAACAAAAATGAACCTCATCTGTAAATGTCCCTGAATGGCACCTGGCTACACTATCGTAAAGATCAGTGTATGGTAGAAATGCAGCAGTCTATCTCAACTATACTTATTTCAGTTTTTATCAGTAAAGATGATGATTCTGAAAGCACATTAGGCCCCATTCACATTATCGTGTAATGGGAATGAGCATTCCCGCTATGCAATTTTTGTTTTGCAAAATTCACATGACTCTGCATGTCACATAGGGCAGCCCATTCACTAAAGTGGGATGCTTTATATACACCTTTGTTGCCTGCTCCTTTTCAGGCTACAAGGTTCATATAATTTGTAAAGGCTCGGTTTGCTGCAATTGCGGCACAACATTTGCGGCATTACGTTTGGGGGTGCCATTGAAGAATAATGACACCCAAACACGTGCAGCGTATTGTGCTGTGATTATTACACGATTTGGGATTGTGGGCTGACACTACCTGTGATCCCAAATCGCAAAATGTGTACAGGGCCTTAGTGTTTACCTTATTAGATAGATTAGACGAAGGATAACAGAACAAGAGCAAAACTTATATTCAGATCTTTTATTCTTAATTATTATTATCATCATTATTATTTTATTCTTACTAAAATGGAATGATCTATTTCTGAAAAAAATAGAAAAATACTATCAGACTTTCTGTCTTTCCCAGATTTAAAGTAGAAGAAAAGCCATTCAATGGAACATCTCAAGACATGTTTTCAAAGGCTTTAACTATAGTGATTTGGTATTACAGAAAATAGGATTACAAGCAGCTGTGTAGCCATTTGTTTTTTTGTTTAGAAGCGCTTTATTCTCATCAGTGTTTATATTCTCTGTATGCCTGACAGAACAAGTCTAAACCAGCAGGAATGAAATAAATCTTTGTTTTAATGAAAAATATTGCACCCAAACATGATAGAGTTCAATATTCACAGTAGGTTTCCCAATATTTATGCAAAGTGCATTTTTCATTATTTTGGCCCCTCCATGTGTGATAACACATGTGGTGTGCATAGAGAAGTACCCATGACCACAACTAACATGCACTGCTCATTCCAAACAGAAGTGAAGGGGAAAAGGAGACGTTCGAGGGCTCACAGAGGACATTATAAGGAGACAGAAAAACACAGTAATAAAAGAAAATAAATGAAAAATAGATTACAGGGCCATTTAATAGTTGATGTACACTATATTGCCAAAAGTATTGGGCCGCCTGCCTTTACACGCAGATGAACTTTAACGGCATCCCAGTCGTAGTCCGTAGGGTTCAATATTGAGTTGGCCCACCCTTTGCAGCTATAACAGCTTCAACTCTTCTGGGAAGGCTGTCCACAAGGTTTAGGAGTGTGTCAATGGGAATGTTTGACCATTCTTCCAGAAGCGCATTTGTGAGGTCAGGCACTGATATCGGATGAGAAGGCCTGGCTCACAGTCTCCGCTCTAATTCATCCCAAAGGTGTTCTATCTGGTTGAGATCAGTACTTTGTACAAGTACAAGTTCCTCCACCCCAAATTCCCTCATCCTTGGATCCATGTCTCTATAGACCTTGCTCTGTACACTGGTGCTCAGTCATGTTGGAACAGGAAGGGGCCATCCCCAAACTTTTTCCACAAAGTTGGGAGCCTGAAATTGTCCAAAATGTCTTGGTATGCTGATGCCTTAAGAGCTCCTTTCACTGGAACTAAGGGACCAAGCCTAATCCCTAAAAAACAACCCCGCACCATAATCCCCCCTCCACCAAACTTTACACTTGGCACAATGCAGTGAGGCACGTACCGTTCTCTTGGCAACCGCCAAACATAGACACATCCATCGGATTGCCAGACAGAGAAGCGTGATTCATCACTTCAGAGAACACATCTCCACTGCTTTAGAGTCCAGTGGCAGCATGCTGTACACTACTGCATCCGCCGCTTTGCATTGCACTTGGTGATGTAAGGCTTGGATACAGCTGCTTGGCCATGGAAACCCATTCCTTGAAGCTCTCTATGCACTGTTGTTGTGTTAATCCAAAGGCCACACAAAGTTTGGAGGTCTATAGCTATTTACTCTGCAGACAGTTGGTGACTTCTATACACTGTGCGCTTTTTACCTGACTTACCACTTTGTGGCTGAGTTGCTGTTGTTCCCAGTTGCTTCCACTTTGTTATAATACCACTAACAGTTGACCGTGGAATATTTAGTAGCAAGGAAATTTCATGGATTTGCACAGGTGGCAACCTATCACGGTACCACACTTTTCACTGAGCTCCTGAGAGCGACCCATTCTTTCACAAATGTTTGTAGAAGCAGTCTGCATGCCTAGGTGCTTGATTTTATACAGCTGTGGCCATGGAGGTGATTGTAACACCTGAATCCAATGATTTGGAGGGCTGTCCCCAATATTTCTGGCAATATAGTGTATATGGATTATTTTTAAAGAATAAAGATATTGTTTAGTGTCACAGATATAAAGTAAAGTCCTTTCCATTTTGATTTCAAGCCTATTGAATTTTATAGGATGGAAGGCATGGTCCACCTAAAGATCAGACAGTTCTGAACCATCTGATTTGTATCCATGGCTATCTTCACAAAAGCTGTCATTATGAACCTTTCCATGCAAGCTTTTCCAGTAGAAGTGTAATGGTTGGATGACAGCCCCAAATATCTACTATAATAAGTTTAATGAAATATAAATTTCTGTGTCTGCAACTACGGATTAAACATAGAAGAGCCAGTAATGGGGTGTATTATGTACACACTCATGTTTAAAACAGGTGTGAAGAAAAGCATGTATATTTTTAAGGTGTCTGGCCCCGGCCGATCTGGTTTAGTCTGAAATACCATAGTTGAGTGTTTGCTTGCCATTTGTTAGTTTATCTTTTATGGCGCTCTCTGTGGTTTGCTGCTTGGCGCCCATCCAGAGTCTGTGTGGATGTTGGATAGAGTACCTGAAGTCTGCAGGCAGAATAGTAGGGGCTTCACTCCCATCCCTCAGCACTGCCATGCTATTCTGGTGCTGTGGCTGGAGACTCTGATCACACATACATCTTTGTAAACGCTCTTACATCGCAGTTTCATTATCCCTCCTGTACTTGCCGGCAGCTCATTACTCACTTTTTTTTGTAGGAAGAGATTACAGAACAGGTGCAAATTAAACACATTGATAAATCCCTTTCGTCTTAATCACTCTGTGGCTTAATTTAGAAACAGGCTCTTCAGACAATTTCAGCTTTTACAGTCATTTTAGGAATTCATATTTTACAGGTTTCTTTGTTATCTTCATTTACAATGAACATGATGTGTGGAACACTAAATTAAAGAATTGTAATGTCAATAACCGTTGAAATACAGTATGTTACAACCTAAAGAAAACTGTATGGCAATACCATGCCACCTTGAATGCTAGATAATGACATGCCATACATATAAAGAAGGATCAATAATGTGGACCTGTCATTAAAGTATAAAGTATTCAGGTTAGTATAGTCTGTTTTGGTTTGTATTAACCACTTGCCCTCCTGAGTGTTTACCCTCCTTCCTGACCAGGTCATTTTTTGCGTTACAACGCTGCCTTACTTTAACTGACAATTGCGCGGTCATGCAACACTGCACCTAAATGGAATTTACATCCTTTTATTCCCACAAATTGAGCTTTCTTTTGGTGGTATTTGATCGCCTATGCATTTTTTATTTTTTGCTCTATAAAAAAAAAAGACTGTCAATTTTGAAAAAAAAAACAATATTTTTGACTTTTTGCTATTATACATGTCCAGTAGAAAAATGTAAAAATCAAATTTCGTCATAAATTTAGGGCAAAATGTATCCTGCTATATGTCTTTGCTAAACAAAAATCCCAATACCTGTAAATGAATTGGTTTACGTGAAAGTTATAGTGGTATAGATACTGGAATCAGTGACTTATAGTGGTACTGTGGCGGACATTCTGACACTAGGGGGAACTGACTTGGTGTCATTGACATCCCCAGTGACACCAATACAATGATCAGTGCTAATAAAAAGCACTGACACTGCACTAATGGCACTGGGCAGGAAGGGGTTAACATGAGGGGTGATCAAAGGGTTAACTGTATGCTGGGAGTGTTTTACTAGGGGGCCATGTTAGTGTGCTTCAATGTAAGCACACTGATTTGGATAGCTGTGCTGTGCAAAGCCACCCAAAGCAGTGTGCCCGAGCTGACAGTGAGGAGAACTGTTAGTAAACAAAACATTCCTCCTCCCTGTTGGAGATGCTCAGTAATCACCGGCTGGGATCTGGTGATTGACAGCCTTGACCTCAAATGGCAGCGCAGATTGGGCGGGCGTGCAACTCACGCATGTCCCCTACCCAGAAATGCAAAATCACGTATATATTCGTAATTTTGCGCACCCATGCCACCCTGTAGCAGTATTTCTGCTATACAGAGGTTGGAAATTGGTTAAAATGTATCTTTAATCTCCCCTTTCTTTATTTTGGTTAATTATATTGTTGATTGTGCAATGCCCAGCACTTTGTTTTATCGATTTGGAATGACACCATCACAATGCTGTATATATGTTGTTTGTTGTACACTGCTTGGCAAGCTTCAATTCCCATGTTTGTAACGTCCCTTTAAAATAGCATTAATGATTGCTTAAACTGTATATGTTTTTTTTTACTTTTACAAACCAAGATTGATATAAGGCTCTGTTCACACTACTGCAACCCGAAAGTCACGTGACTTACGGTGCGACTTTGCCAGGCGACTTCCTGGTGATTTGATGGCAGCTTAATGCAATTTGAGTATGACTTTGATGAAAGTTGATGTGCGACTTTTATGCCATAAGACTGTCTGGGTAATTTTCCTGTAATGTCAAAAACCAAATCACATCAATATAGATGAGAATCCGACTTGGAGGAACCTTCCATTAAAGTCTATGGGCACAAGTCAGATAAAAGTCATCTTGAAGTAGTACAGGAACTTTCTTAAGTCAGAGTGACTTCAGTAGTGCTAATTAAGAAAGCTCTCATTGAATAACATGGGATTTTACATGTCATGCAACTTGGGGTCTCACAAGTTGGATCCCAAGTCGTGGCAATGTGAACCAAGCCTAGATCTTTTCTCTATCTCAAATAAATAAAAAATACAGTTATAAAAAAAAAGTATAAATTTCAGTTATTTTTGGACTACTCATATCAATTTGAACAGTCCTAAAGTTTGCACACTTTGTTAAGATCCCCACATATTTAAATCTTTGAATTCTGGGACACATATTTACAATGCCCTGTGGGTAGGCACTGCTGTGTCCAACATTTACAGAGCCTGCCTTCTGAACTACAGAGGTGCTGAGAGGAGGAGTTTACAGGAATCACTGCTTCCAGGCAGCAAGTTACCATGGGATATGTAGTCCTTAGAAATTGACAGTAAACAGCAAAGGAGAAGCTGCAAACCATGCAGGGAAACCAGGAAGCTGTGTAAGGCTTCATGTACACAAGCAGCTCCTAAACTCGAGTTTAGGAACTTTTGGCATTTTTTTTGCCATCAACTCCATAAAAGCCTATGTGTCCATGTATGCATCATCTTTTAACAGAGTTTAGGAGCTGCCGCATTTGGGCGAGGTTAAACCTTGCTCTCCTGAATGTGGAAGAATCACATTCAGGATAGGAACGTTTTGACCGCTGATCGCAGGAAAATGCGAAAAGCGGCAAAACTGCGGTACTGCAGTTGCAGTTTGCAGCGATTTGCGTTTTCCCGCGGCCGGCGGTCAGGGTAGGCTTGTGTACATGAAGCCTAAAGAGATGACCAGCAGACAGGCAAATCTCACATGAAAGATTTTTCAAGTAAGCCTATATTGGATTGTCAAAAATAACTATTGTTTGTAAGTGAGTATGCAATGGTGGTTGGTAGGGGGGGTGGTACAAGCTGAGAAAGGTACTGTGTTGGAATTCAGTTTTCAGAATGGGAGGCAAGGAGGCTCAGAGTCAGTGGTGCAGGGTGCCAGGGGTTTGGAAGAGTGATGGCTGTTACAAAGGTGCATTGTCAGGGAGGTTGGGGGATGTTCAGAGTCAGGGGTGCATGTGGTTCTGTGAGATGTAACTTCAAGGTGAACTAACACCATACATCTTCCCCACCCCACCCCTGTTCCCTGCTGTACTTACCTTCATGGGTGATGAGCTGTCAGCAGTGTGGGGATTTGAAATCCTTTCTCTTTGCCCTCTTCTGTCTGCATCACTTCTGTGACAGGGTAGAGCGATTATGAATTGGTCAGCGCATGCACAGAGACAGTGGGTGCCAACAGTGTGCTGCATTAAAAAAAAGTGCAGGTTTGTTATTTTTCATTGCCATGCATTGACAGCCCATTCTTGATGCAAAATGTTTTAACTTGTATGCAGTGGCACACCACAATGGAAATGGCAAAATGTGAAGGAGGCCTTAGTATTTTGATCTGCACTACTGGCCATATGATGAGTGGACTATGAGGACTCAGGAGGTGGCTTCCCAAAATGACAGCCAGTATGTACTTTCCATATGTTTTTAAAAATTGCAGCTTAAAAAATTGCAACTGCTATAATACGTGCTTTGGTTTAAAGCAGTTCAGAGTTTAATAACTTGTATTCTTTTATTTATATATTTATATATATATATATATATGCAATAAATGCATATATAATTGTTTTATGATTGTGGAGCTGTTAACTGTAACTCCAGATGCAATCCTCCTTGCTGCTGCCAAGGAAGCCTACATCTGGGGTTACAGCTGTCACCCTCCTTGCAGAGGCACCACTGACCACTTTGCCTGAAGCTACCCCCTCATCACCATCCATTGCACCAGTACCTCCTCTTGTCATAACTGTGTTTGCACCCATCTGCTCACCGCCATGCCCTAAAGCTCTCCCTAACACACACACCCATATACACACACACACTATCTCCCCTGCATTCTTACAACCATCATCTCTCCCAATTTTTTTCCACTTCACTTTCCCCCACCTCTGTGCATGCTGCCCTTGCACCGATGCATGATTTGGTATTTGTCATCATTGTATCAATGGGTTCTGTGTTCTCCATCACTGCAGTAAAGCTCCATTCAATATTCAACCAATCAATGAACCAGCATACTTTGCTAGTCTACTTTAATTGTGCTAATATAAGGTTGCACTTCACATATAGCAGTTCTTAGCTTTGTTGACTGTTGGAGTTGTGGCATAAACTCTAACTGCTAGCAGCTTTTTACAACAGGACTCTAGTTTCACTTTTTGACTTTCTCTTTGTTCTTTATAATATACTGTAGTGAAAAAAAATTACCATAACTGACTGTAAAATGAGTCAATATATAATGTTATATTGGGAGTTGTTTAGACCATTGATAAATGCATTTCAGTGAGTCCATGCCAGTCTGAACTGTATTTAAGGGCTTGCCAGCCCACTGTTAATAAACAAAATGAAAGTATTGTACACAAATAGTTGCCCATGCAGTGGGTTTTCATTATCAAAACAGGTAATGAATATACCAAGCCACCTGGCTTTCTCTTCAGCAGCTGTTCTTGTCAGAATCCTTTAGACTCAACTCTCCCAGCTATCAGGGCTCTCTTGGCCTTTAATTACAGCATCCAGCTGCCGGGCCCACTCCATGGCCTCTCAATATGGGATCTCCTGGTACCCTGGGCTCTCTCACTCCTCTGAGACCTACAGATTACTGCCTAGTTTTCTCAGCTCTCCTAGTCCTCCAGACTCACTAGACTGTCCAGACTATCCCAATCTTGTGGTTGGGCAATCCCCCAACATGGAGTGCTGTCACCTGAGTGGATCACCTTTCCTAAAGGGAGTATGCCTGTCTCTTGGCACAGAGCTGTCTCCTAATGGGAGCACAACTGAATTATCCTTTTGGGGATAGTGGAACAAGAAGCAGGTTGTCCCATGCAAGGGTTTTTAGGAATGACAAATGCCTGGTCATTCTCAAGGCCAAATGTTGATCCAGACCAACTGGAAAAAGACAGTATTCATCGCACAGAGTATTTTCTAGGATGAAATTTCCTTGCCTCACACCATGACAAATATACTCTCCAGGTGTAAAGGTAGACTTTTGTAGACATTAATTTCCTAGCTCTTGAAAGCACAGGGATAACAGAACCAGACAGACCCCTATCACTCAGGGACTGGGCTTTGATAGCCAAACCCTTAAAGCCCACATTCGAGAGGCAGGATGGTAAACTGGCCATTGTGATAGAAGATCTGGGCAATCTGAGAGGACCCAAAGAGAGTCTGCAAGTTTCAGGTTCACCTAGACTAGTTTGCTGCAATGATAATCACCAGAATGCCCTCCATCTCAATCATGCAGTGCACGCGAGGATGAGGTTTCAGAGACAGAAAGGCATAGATCACGTTACACTGATCCCACAGAGTCCCAGAAGCCTCCACTGAGAAGGTTAAGACCCCATGACCTAGAGAAAAACCTGCTCAGTTTTTTGTTGAACCTGGAAGCCAGGAGCTTCATGTCCACTATCACCTAGCTGGAGAGAGGTTTTGAAACATTCTGGGGGAACAGATCATTCTCTGGAGTCCAAACATTAATGACTGAGGAACTCTGACTGGCAATTTTCCTTGCACGACAGACAGAGCTGGAAAGTGATGTTCTGCTCAATCTAGGATCCTATCTGCTTCTCATTAAACTGCAAGGCCTCTGGTCCCTCCCTATTGGTTGATGTAAGCTTCTAATGTGGCATTCTCCAACTTCATCTTAGCTTAGACTCCATTTTGGTCTGATGACCTTGCATCTTAGAGGTTCATCATTGAGGGGATAGCAAATCACTCTGAAATCTAGGATACTGATCAAGAGACAAGCTTTGTCTGATGACAAAGTTCCCTACACCAGGAGGGTACCCAGGACTCCCTGCAACCCCGATAGGATGAAATCCATCATGAGAACCTTCCAAAGCAGTATGAGCAAAGATTTCTCAGACACAAGCACTGGATATATGATACAGCAGGTCAGAGCAAGCCTAGTTTTGTGGATCAGGTGTATGCAACAGTCCAGAGACTGTCAGAATGTTGAGTTGCAATGATCTTGAGTAAAATAGGGCATATGATGCTGCTTCAAAAGCTATTCAGCACAAAACCCCCATGCAAAAGAGGAGTCCAAACATGTGTGCAAAAAGCCTAGATTTAGTTCTATGGAAGTAAAACCTTGGACAGGGCCTGGACTAGGAATAGATAATTCAAGGGATGCTGTTGGACATTGGCTGATAGAGCCGGTGCTAACTGATTCCTCAGAAGAAGATCATCCAGATATCTCGCTATCTTAATCCAGAGACCAGAATTCCAGGTAGTGGCCTCTATGTGGGGACTATGTGGGGACACTAGCATGTTTTACAACAGGAAGCTGGG